AGAAGATATGCCTCCCGTGCACCCGAGCACTCAGTGAAACGCTCAGTGAGACGAGTCCACATGGCCTGAGCAGAGGGAAGCGAGCCAATCTCGACAGTGAGACCAGAGCCAACACAGCGAGTGAGATAATCCATAACACGAAATTCCTGCAATTGCCACTCTGAACTCTCCTTGACATAGAGAGCACGAGCAGTCTGAAGATCGACATCACCACTGCCAGAGGCAATAGTACTGGATGAAGCAACAGTGCTGATGGACGGTGGAACTGGTCCCGTACTGGTGAGATGATCAAGCAAACCAGCGCCACGCAAGGCATTGGTGACAATGGTGGACCACCCTGCCCAGTCACTTTGATCATTGAGGGGCAAAGGTGGTTTGGGAATCTTCTCTGAAGGAGCCATAACAGCAATCTTGAGACGTTAAGATGTCGAGATGCTGTTACTAATGTCGTTCGTTTGAGGCCGAGAGACGGCTTGAAACGACGATGCCGTTAATTTGAGACCGAGAGACGGTCTTGAAACGACAATGCCGTTAAAATAGAACCCGAAGGTTAGAATGAAACCCGAAGGTTTAAAATAGAACCCGAAGGTTAGAATGAAACCCGAAGGTTTAAAATAGAACCCGAAGGTTAAACGAGAACGCAAAACGCGTTAAGAGGCCGCAAAACGACAAGGCCAAAATATCTGGCAGATGAACGCCAAATAATTAAAAATAAAAATAAAAAAAATAAAACATTAAACGGCTGCAAAGCAATAAGGCCAAGATTTGGCAAAAGAACGCAAAAGCGTTAAAAATTTTATTGAAAGGGAAATAGCCCTAGCTCTGATACCATGTTAAAGTAAGAGAGAGAGAGAGAATCTTGGGTAAATTTCCCTTGAATTGAATATTGAGTGTGCACATATATTTATACAAGTAGAGGAGTGTGAGGTTTGTTCTCCCAAGCAATGTGGGACTAAAACCCACTACAATACACTATTATCAACAGCAGCCATATAGGAACTTATTGAAGTAATCATCGATCTGCTATATCATAGGCTTTGATTCTCACATGCCTCAAGCATTAGTATGCATGAATACAAGGCAGCCCACTAGATCCCACTTTTTTACAACCACATGATTTCTTCTCTATATTCACAGACATATAACCTAAACCATCCCCCACTTCATATTCTCTTTTCCCCATCCACCGTGCAAAAGTCTTCTCCCTTGATAGTCTATCAACTGATTCAAGTGTCTCTGCAATTCTTGGACAAAACACCTTCTGACCAATTTGATGCCATTGTCTTCTTCTTTAGAAACCTAATTTGCATCAGTCTTCTAATCATTTCCAACATGGTGATTATTACTTTATCACTTGCCTCCAATTATATGAATTTATTGAAGGCTTCACAAATATTATTGCATATTAAATCACACTTTATATCTATTAGGAAATGTTATCTTGTCCAAGTTTCTTTGTCAAGCTTGTTCAAGTTTTCATTTGCCTCCTTACTCAACTTTTTCATACTCTTCGTGGCAGTCTCATTTTTATGCAGAGCTTTGCTATAGGGATCTAAAATATGGGACCAATAGGGGGGCAAGTGAGGTGTCCCCCCTCCTATTGGATAATGAGTTGGTCATCATTAATGATGGCCAACTCATTATCCAATAGGAGGGTGACACCTCACTTGTCCCCTCTATTGATCACATATTTTGGGTCATTGAGGATTTTTTCTTTTATGCATCGTATATGCTCTTTGAGCATTCCAAAGCAACATATAAAAAAAAATCAAACTCTCATTGACCAGAACTACCATCTTTGTACCACAATCCCAAAGCACAACCTAAAGTTGAAAAGAAAATCTAACAACAAATCAAGTTTCTAAGTGGCATTACCTCAAAGTATCCCGATCCAATACAAAATCCCCTGCAGATCTCCTATCTTGGCCGCGAACCACCTTCTCCAAGATCTCAGAGTGAGAGTTCTTCTTGATCCTTGGTCGAGATCCAAGATACGAATCTGGGGCATGGTAATTTTGTCAAGTTCGATATAAATGATAGAGGTTTGGAAATTTTTTGTCAACTTTTAACCGTTGAGGGTGATAGAAGTAAGATGAGGGGCATTTTCATCACAATGCCCAAAAATTAATTCTGTGAGCTATTTTTTAACGGTGGACAATTCATGGTTTTTTTATGCTACCTTTTACAATTTGTGGTATTTAAGTGCCACATTGAGGAAACTTTACGGTATTTAAGTGCCATTTAGCCAACAATTTATTCCTTAACCTAATTCTTGTGAGCTCTGATTATTATTAGAGGGTGTTTGGGAGAGCTTTTCTTTATTATCAAACTAGCTTTTAAATTAAGATTTTAGTATCTATTTGTTTGGTAAAATACTAAGTAAATTTTTTTAATCCAATCTAGAATCATACCCAAGACCATGGGAAAAATACTGGATACAAAAACTTTTAAGCTGTATTCTAAGAAGTTGCTATACCCTAACTTTTGAAAAATTATCTTATAAGCTCACCTAAATAAACTATAGATTTGACCAACCAAATTATCTCTGCAATTCTTGGACAAAACACCTTCTGACCAATTTGATGCCATTGTCTTCTTCTTTAGAAACCTAATTTGCATCAGTCTTCTAATCATTTCCAACATGGTGATTATTACTTTATCACTTGCCTCCAATTATATGAATTTATTGAAGGCTTCACAAATATTATTGCATATTAAATCACACTTTATATCTATTAGGAAATGTTATCTTGTCCAAGTTTCTTTGTCAAGCTTGTTCAAGTTTTCATTTGCCTCCTTACTCAACTTTTTCATACTCTTCGTGGCAGTCTCATTTTTATGCAGAGCTTTGCTATAGGGATCTAAAATATGGGACCAATAGGGGGGCAAGTGAGGTGTCCCCCCTCCTATTGGATAATGAGTTGGTCATCATTAATGATGGCCAACTCATTATCCAATAGGAGGGTGACACCTCACTTGTCCCCTCTATTGATCACATATTTTGGGTCATTGAGGATTTTTTCTTTTATGCATCGTATATGCTCTTTGAGCATTCCAAAGCAACATATAAAAAAAAATCAAACTCTCATTGACCAGAACTACCATCTTTGTACCACAATCCCAAAGCACAACCTAAAGTTGAAAAGAAAATCTAACAACAAATCAAGTTTCTAAGTGGCATTACCTCAAAGTATCCCGATCCAATACAAAATCCCCTGCAGATCTCCTATCTTGGCCGCGAACCACCTTCTCCAAGATCTCAGAGTGAGAGTTCTTCTTGATCCTTGGTCGAGATCCAAGATACGAATCTGGGGCATGGTAATTTTGTCAAGTTCGATATAAATGATAGAGGTTTGGAAATTTTTTGTCAACTTTTAACCGTTGAGGGTGATAGAAGTAAGATGAGGGGCATTTTCATCACAATGCCCAAAAATTAATTCTGTGAGCTATTTTTTAACGGTGGACAATTCATGGTTTTTTTATGCTACCTTTTACAATTTGTGGTATTTAAGTGCCACATTGAGGAAACTTTACGGTATTTAAGTGCCATTTAGCCAACAATTTATTCCTTAACCTAATTCTTGTGAGCTCTGATTATTATTAGAGGGTGTTTGGGAGAGCTTTTCTTTATTATCAAACTAGCTTTTAAATTAAGATTTTAGTATCTATTTGTTTGGTAAAATACTAAGTAAATTTTTTTAATCCAATCTAGAATCATACCCAAGACCATGGGAAAAATACTGGATACAAAAACTTTTAAGCTGTATTCTAAGAAGTTGCTATACCCTAACTTTTGAAAAATTATCTTATAAGCTCACCTAAATAAACTATAGATTTGACCAACCAAATTATCATTTAACCCAAATGATTTTATACAGTTTCCATACTACTCTGTAAAAAAAATATATTGTGGGGGTAATGCAAATTCAGAGGAATGAATTGTTATTCCTTCAATTTCTTAAAGAATAGAGGGTTATTTTAATAAAAGGTAAGGGTAACTTGGTTATTTTTCGACATCATTTGTTGTGTATGTTGCATCTCTCTGGAAAGTTTTATCACTTTCATTCTTCCATCTTCTTCTTATTTATTGTGTGAATTATATCTTCTTTTCAAATTTAAAATTTCATGCACAACCCTTTCAAAGATTATATAACTGGGGGAAAATGCAACACAAGTAAGCTATATAGTGAAATATTTTAAACAAGAGTCTAAGTTAACATGCATATAATATATAATTTACGTCAGAACTAAAAATTATACTTTAAAAATTATGTAAATAAAATTATAAAGATCAAATGAATTTTCTTATGTATAGTAGCTTCTGTTTTGCTTCAATCTAAAATTTTGAGAAAATAAAAAGTAAATAAAATTAAAATAAATTTTATTTAAATGCATAAAAAGATAGAAAATAAAATGAATGATATAATAATAATTTTTTTAGATTCAAAAAAATATAGATGTATTTTTTAAAAGATTCTTATTATTTTGACAGATGATGTGCATTATATACATGTATCTGTTTAACAGAAATGTAAATAGACATTAATTGATCATAATATAATTAACATATAGGATTCATGTGGAAATTCAATATTACATACACCGTGCATTAGTACGTGCAAATATGCTAGTCTATTCCTCTATAATAATAAGAGGGTACAAAGATTTACTATTCATTCTACAGTAAATAATACAGTGAATTATTATAGTATTATTATTGTAGTATCATCACTGCAGCAATACGAATTACTGTAGCATTTAAAAATATAAACTGCAGCACAAGTGTGTTATTGTAGCACTTTGAAGATATTACTATATTATTCACAAAAAAATATGATATTTAGAAAACAGAATTACCGCAGCAGAAATAAATATAGGGGCCGTGCAAAGCATGGAACGCACACTGGTTCATCATAAAAGCCAAAAGTTAATATGTGGAATGAGGCGTATTAACAAGAGCCGTGAGAATGTCGTGAAAGTTAGGCCCACTAAGGCCCATATCAATTTGAAATCCTCTCAGCTCGACGAAATCCACCATCGTGATCCCAACCCCGCCCCCATCTTCATCCCGCTCTCTGTCTCTCTACAATTTCAAATGAAGTCGATCTTAGTTCGATAACCGCTGCAGACTGAAGAGAGCGAGAGAGGGAAAAAGCAGCAGCAATCAGCTATCTCTTTCTCTCTCCTCCAAGATCTCGCCTTTGGATACCCCCACGACCCCTGATTCCGTAAAGAGGGTTTCTTGGATCTCAAAATGGAAGAGCAACCGCAGATTGTAAATCTCTCTGGCTCTTGATCTCTAATTCCCTCTTTGTGTCTCTCTGATTCTTGATTTGATTTGATTTGATTTTTTTTGGGTGCGCGCAGCTGGAGGGCGGGAAGAGGATCGAGGCGAGGGATCTTGGTTCGGTTCTGCGGATTGGAGGTGGGTCTTTTTTATAATTTGGTTTTCTTTCTAAAAAAAATGGATTTTTTTATTGATTCGTGGGTTAAAGCTTGATTTAAAAAAATTTAATTTTTTGGGCGTGTTTATGAGAACGATGCTATGCTTGGTGAATGACAGCTACCAGGTTTAAGATTGGATGAGAAGTTAATTGAAATTGCACGTTCGAAGATGGGCAATTGTTGGCTGTGGTGAGAAAAAGGCAATTTGTCTTCAAACAATAGTCCCACGTTGACTAGTGTAATGAATGGGTAGGTGTTTAAATTGCTTCTCTTCTCTTTATCCTTTGAGGGTCCCCAAGAGGGGGGTGTTTTGGGCAATCAATTTGTTTGGGCTCTGGATAACACGCTCGCCACACCACGCACGTGCCCCCCTCCTCGCCACGCCACGCATTTTATTTTTGCCTTTTAACTCGGAAAATCGTGCAACGTGCGGGAAGTTCAAATGATTGTGTGAGTTTTGGAGAACGTGCGAGAAGATTAAGCGGGGAGTTTCAACGGTATAGGGTTTCTAAAACCCTATAAATACAGGCCTAACTCAGTTCGTAAAGAGCAGCGAAAAAGAAAAGCTTTTTTCTTCTTAAAAAACCAAGAGAAATCTCTTCTGCCTTCTCTAAAATCTGTCTACTTTTCTCCCTCTCTAAAATTTGTTGTTGTTATTCATTTTTCTTTTGGGCAATCGTCTTCATCTGAGAAAAAGCTCTATACTCTCGCCCGACTAACAAGGGAGGGAAGCTTTCGGTGGCCTTTTTTTTGAAAGAGGGAAGGAAAGGACGATGTATTTGTCAAATGGTAGGAAGAAAAAAAAGGAGTACTTAAGCTATAAAACCCCCACCCTCTTCCCTTAACCCATTATCAAATCAGCTTCCGAATCTTCTTAAAAGAGAAAGAGAAGCTCGAGAAAAAAAAGAGAGGCTGAGGGAAAAGTACTCGGTGAAAAAAACTGAGAGAGAGCACTCAGTGAGAAAAATTGAGAGCGATTTTTCAGAGTGAAATTTGGGTTGTGAGTATTTGTGAGAGTGATTGTAAAGTGAGAAAAATTGAGAGCGATTTTTCAGAGTGAAATTTGGGTTGTGAGTATTTGTGAGAGTGATTGTAAATTTTTCTCCCCTTAGTGAAGAGTGAAATTTGGGTTGTGAGTATTTGTGAGAGTGATTGTAAATTTTTCTCCCCTTAGTGAAAGATCTGCAACAGCCCGTGGACGTAGGTAAGTTTATGTCGAACCACGTAAATCTTGTGTGTCCTCTTATTCCGTATTTATTCGTTTTCTCGTAATCTGGTTATAAGGGAATTTGCGTAGTTTTCCAACAAATGGTATCAGAACTCTGGTTGTGACGCCTGTCAATTTTCTGTGAGATTACTATTCACATGAATATTGAATTTCGTGAATAGTGAAACTTTGTCAGCGGTACCAATTTGTCGGCAGAGGTGTCTTGATACACGGTGGTTCGCAGAAACAGTCAGAAACGATCCAAAAGGTGCCAGATTCGAGTGGGAGCGATGGCTGCAGACGAAGGGAAGGTGAAAATTAAGAAGTTCGATGGTGCGGACTTCGGCTTTTGGAAGATGCAGATCGAAGATTATCTATACCAGAAGAAGCTGTATCAATCTCTCTCAGGAAGTAAGCCAGATGACATGAAGGATGAAGAGTGGACTTTTCTCGACAGACAAGCCATTGGAGTTATCCGATTGACGCTATCCCGAAACGTTGCTTTCAACATAGCAAAGAAAAAGACCACAGCGGGTCTTATGGCGGTTCTCTACAGCATGTATGAGAAGTCCTCTGCCTCAAACAAAGTTCACTTGATGAGGCGGCTGTTCAATTTGCGGATGACAGAAGGCGCTTCAGTAGCTCAACATCTCAATGAACTCAATATAGCCACAACCCAATTGAGTTCAGTTGGAATTAAGTTTGATGAAGAAGTATGAGCATTGATACTTTTATCTTCTTTATCAGAAAGTTAGAATGCTACTGTCACAGCTGCGAGTAGCTCCTTGTGAAGCAATAAGTTAAAATTTGATGATGTTCGTGATCTAGTTCTTAGTGAAGAAATTCGTCGGAGAGAATCGAGTGAAGCATCAACCTCTTCAGCTTTACACACGGAGTCTAGGGGGAGAACTTCAGAAAGAAGTTCAATTCGCGGCAAATCAAAATCTAGAAGCTGCAAATCTAGATCGGAAAAGAAAGATTTTAACTGCTATAATTGTGACAAGAAGGGTCATTTCAAGAGGGAGTGTCGGGCACTGAAGAAAAATACCAGTGCACAGGAGTCTGCCAACGTGACCAATGAAGAAGGTGATGCTATGATTCTAAGCGTCAACACTCCGATTGAATCATGAATTCTTGATTCAGGGGCATCCTTCCATGCTACCCCATGCCGAGAAATCATGGAGAACTACGTCAGCGTGATTTCGGAAATGTACATCTAGCAGATGATGAAACCTTGAAGATCGTTGGTAAGGGAGATATCCAATTAAAATTTTGCTAAATCAGACCACATGGAAGCTGCAAGGAGTGAGACATATTCCTGACCTTAAAAGGAATTTGATCTCTGTAGGATAGCTTGATAGAGAGGGTTGCTGTACAACCTTCTCAGGTCATGAATGGAAGATTACTAAAGGAGCACTCATCATTGCTCGAGGTAAGAAAAATGGTACTCTCTATGTAACCTCTAACTTAGAGAATATTATTACAGTAACAGATGTAGATGAAAAATCAAATCTATGACACCAAATGTTTGGTCATATGAGCGAAAAAGGAATGAATACACTTCTGTCAAAAGGGAAGCTGTTGTATCTGAAGAATGTAAATGTCGGCCTATGCGAGGATTGCATCTTTGACAAACAGAAGAAAGTCAGTTTTGTAAAGATTGGCAAGACGGTAGAAAAGTTAGAACTAGTTCATACCGACGTATGGGGACCATCTCCAGTTTCATCTCTTGTAGGCTCACTGTACTATGTCACCTTCATTGATGATTCTACAATGAAGGTGTGAGTCTATTTTCTGAAGAAGAAATCAGAAGTCTTTGATACCTTCAGAAAATGGAAGGTCATGGTGGAAAATAAAACTGGTTTGAAGATAAAGCGGTTAAGGTCAGACAATGAAGGAGAGTACAAAGACAGTAGATTCAAAGAATTTTGCGTAAACAACGGGATCAAGACGGAGAAAATAGTTCCCATGATACCGCAGCAAATGGCGTAGCAGAGCGCATGAACAGAACTTTGAATGAACGTGCCAGAAACATGAGGAATACATGCCGGCTTGTCTAAGTTCCTATGGGCTAAAGCTATCAATACCGTAGCCTACCTAATCAACCGCAAGCCCTCAGTTCCCTTAGACGGTGGAATACCGAAAGAAGCTTGGAGCAGAAAAGAGGTAAACCTTTCGTATTTAAGAGTTTTTGGTTGTATCTATTATGTACACATAGATTCTGCTAAAAGAAATAAACTTGATGGCAAATCTAACAAATGTGTTTTTGTTAGTTATGGTGGTGATGAGTTTGGTCACCGGTTTTTGGATTATGAAAATCGAAAGATCATCAGAAGCAGAGATGTCATATTCAATAAGAATGCGATGTACAAAGACAGATCAACTGCAGAATTAAGTAGTTCCAGTACAAAAGCTGAAACAAAGGAATTTGCTGAATTTGAGGAGATTTCTAAAAATAATGTTCACACTAGTCCTGAAGTGGTTCAAGAAGAACCAAGCACGTCAGAAGTGAGACGCTCCTCCAGAATTCCTAAGCCAATTTACCGTTATTCGCCTTTTTTGCACTACTTGTTGCTGACTGATAGTGGTGAACCAGAGTGTTATGATGAAGCAATGCAGGTGGAGGATTCAGTCAAGTGGGAGTCTGCTATGCAAGATGAGATGGACTCGTTTATATCAAATCAGACGTGAGATTTAGCTGAATTACCACCAGATAAGAAAGCTCTTCATAACAAGTGGATTTATAGAATCAAAGAAGAGCATGATGGGAACAAGCGCTACAAGACAAGATTGGTTGTCAAAGGTTTTTAGCAAAAAGAATGTATTGATTACAATAAAATTTTCTCTCCAGTCGTGAAACTAACTACAGTCAGACTGGTATTGAAAATTATAGTTGCTAAGAATTTACATCTTGAACAGTTAGATGTAAAAACAATTTTCCTTCATGGTGATTTGGAGGAGGAGATCTATATGAAGTAACCGAAAGGCTTCATAAAGACAGGCAAGGAAAATCTAGTATGCCTTTTGAAGAAGAGCTTGTATGGATTAAAACAAGCTCCCAGGCAGTGGTATAAGTAGTTTGACAACTTTATGAGCAGCAACAGTTTCACTAGATACCAAGCAGATCATTGTTGCTATCTCAAGAGTTTGACAATGGCTTCATTATTTTAGTGTTATACACTGAGGACATGCTCGTTGCAGGTTCAGATCTGCAAGAGATTATAAATTTGAAGTAAAAATTGTCAAAGCAGTTCTTAATGAAAGATCTTAGCGCTGTAAAGCAGATTCTTGGAATGAGGATCAAGAGAGACACGATGTCACGCCCTGCTTCTTAAAATACCGGGAAATCGGAACGTGAACAAGCCCGTGACGTATTAGATTGAGGAGAAATATACACTAATAATTTTTTTCTTTTTCTTTTCTTCTCAATCTAATACGTTAAGCGTCAAACAAGAGAATATTAGTCACAGGTCCCCCGATCACAATAGCAAAAATATAATAACCTAGAATAAGAAATAGACATCATCAAAAGTAGATCATCCTAGACATAAAAATATGGGTCAAACATACCCTTATTACAAAAAATGGTCCAACTAGGAATAAAAAATACATAGTCCATAATAAAACAAAGTACTACTAAAAATACGAAAATCCATCAACTAAAGAAAAATATGATAAAGAGTTCTAATGTCCCACAACTACTATGGAAGAAAACCACTACGTTTCAGTTTGTTCTTCTACTCCATCGGAAGGATACTCCGGCTGGGTAAACG